GGTATGAGAGACTCTGTGAGTGTCGCGGGACACTCTCCAGTATAGCTCAATGGATTGCTGAGGTGCGCAAACCGTCACACCACGGTAAGGTCCAGTCTCTTCGTGACGGCCAGTCTCTTCGTGACGGTGATATCCGCATATGTGCCGATTTCTTAACCGGTCTAAATGCCGCTCTTCAGCAGCACCACTATCCACTACCAGTGCCCGACGATCTAGTCACTGTTTTGAACGGCGGAAAGTTCTTCGTCAAAATCGACCTTGCTGAAGCGTACCTTCAAGTTGAAGTAGCATCAGAATCAAGCCTACTGTTGAAAATCAACACACCGCGGACTGTATCAATACACCCATCTCCCGTTTGGCGTTAAAACAGCTCCAGCAATTTTCCAGGAGTTGATGGATACCACCCTTTCTAGCGTTCCGGGTGTGGTCACATACCTCAACAACGTGCTGATCGTTGCTGTTTCACCCGAAGATATTTTTGATCGGATCAATGTCGTCTTGCTGCGCATTCAGGACACTGCTCTCCGACTCCGTCCTGAGAAGTTTCAATTCTTCTTGACAAAAGTGAAATATCTTTGTTTCACCTTCGACGCCCCTGGTTGTCATCCTGACCCGGAGAACGTTTCAGCTATGCAGGAGATGCCATCTCCTAAGGATGTCCATTCATTGCATTCCTTTCTGGGGTTCATCAGCTATTATTCGGCACTCTTACCTTTGCTACATTACATTCGATCTCCACTAAATCAGTTGCTTGGAAAGGATGTTCCTTGCCGTTGGTAAGAAGAATTCGAAAAAACATTCTGGGGGCTAAAGGCGATGCTCAGTTCCGAACTGCTACTAACCCACTGGGGCCCAAAGCTAATGATCTTCGTAGCAGATGATGTCTCTACTTTTGGAGTCGGTGCCGTCGTTCTGCACGGCCTCCCAGACGGATCGGAGGCCATCATGCAAGTGTCGAAATCACTATCGCCAGCAGAACAGCGTTATGGACAGATGGAGAAGCTTTGGCCTTAGTGTTTGCCGTCCGGCGTTTCCATAACTTGTTGTACGGTCGTCGTTTCACCCTACTTACCGATCATAAACCTTTGCTGCCTATTTTCGGTTCAAAAAGAGGTGTTCCCGCACATTCTGCCAACCGCCTTCAAAGATGGGTGCTTATACTGCTGGGATACGACTTTGATATTCAATATCGTCGCACCGCCGACTTCGGTCAGGCCGATGCATTAGCTCGCCTGATCAGCAATCAGCTAACTCACGGAGAGGATACGGTTATTGCGCAGGTTGCTTTCGAAGACGCAGCGGCCTCCAGTTGGTTCAGTCTGTTCGTGACAGTGACAGCGGTACAACAAGTTACCATGGCTGATCCGACGCTTCAGAAGACGATCCAGTTTGTGAAGTCTCGATGGCCTTCGAACCTCACAGATGATTGCTTTCGACAGCTCCTTCAACGCCAACATGCATTGTCAGCCGTAAACAATTGCTTAATTTTTGGAGATCGCGCCGTGATTCCTCAATCTTTAGGCCATCGAGTCACCCGTCATTTCCATTCTGGGCATTCTGCATAAAATCAATAGCCCGCAGTTACGCTTACTGGCCACACATGGACCAGCACATCACTAATTTTGCAAACGCTCCCGATTCCAACAAGATGCCAAGAATCCGCCAAATCAATCATCGGTCCCCTGGCCTCGACCTGAGAAGCCTTGGTCTGGAGTCCACATTGATTGCGCAGGACCAGTACGTGGTACTTCCTATTTGATTTTGATTGACGCTTTTTCCAACTGGCCAGGAATCATTCCGGTGTCCTCTCCAACAACATCTAGTACAATGCGTGTGTTATGCAACATTTTCAGCCAGCTTGGTTTACCTAACAAACCTGTGTAAAATAATGCCAGATGACACCTTGGATTGCGTCACCGTTGAGAGCAATACATCAGTAATATACACTGGTGCTTAATTAACACACACGAGGGAAGAAGGCCTTTGAGGGGCGAGACGGCTTAGTGGTTAGAGTACGAATTTACTGACCGGAAAGAGCATGGTTAAAACCCGACCTCTTCCTCTCGACTTCCTGTCTAGGCTTTGGAAACCTGGCAATATTCCAGCCCTCGTGCTTCTTTCGGGTAGCATGGCAGCTTAGCACCAAAAGGGATGAATGCAACTGCTCCGCTTCGATACACGTAATGCTGGCGGAAAACGTGATAACCAAGGCCGTAGGATCGCATCATTGGAGGCGATTTCCGTACTCCAGAACGAACTCCAGATACGTTAATTCTTAAGCTCACAAACCGAGCATCAAAATGCAGTGGTTCCAGCTGGTACAGCTTCGTTCAACGAGGATAAAAAATAATAACGGAATGAGGGCCACACGTTGGAGGCGATGGACCAATTTATGCATGGACGACAAATGGTTGTTTGTCAGGTCTGAGAAGGAGCGTGGCTATGCAGTGAAGGCTATGGCTTTGATTCAAGGCCACCATTGGTCGCGTCACAAAGACAAAACTGTTCAGATCACTAACAACTGGTTTGCTTGTCCCAGTTTCCATCCGCGGAGAGGGCAGTTACAAACTTGACTCAGTTGACTGGTAATGGCTTTCGTGCTTCTTTGCCTGTGTTACGGAACGGAAATACACATTGACGGAAGAACAGAACATGGACTGAGCAATAGCTGCTTGCTGTCTGATATAGCGGAGTATGAACGTTCAAAACAACAATGTGGGACAGATGCCATGAATTCAAAAGGTGCATTTCGATTTACTTTACTGGGCCGAAGCTTGGATATGTCCGTTCAGATGTAACGCCCTTCCGGTGCCTAGCTGCCACGCTACACGAAGGAAGCATGAGGGCTGGAATACTGCCAGATCGCCCGAGCCTAGACAGGGCAAGTCGAGGAGCAGAGGTCGGGCTCGAGCCACGGACCTTCCGGTCAGTAAATTCGCGCTCTAATCACTTGAGTAATCTCGCCTACGTTTGTTCTGCTGTAACATCCCTTCAGTGTACGGCTGCCAAGCCACCCGGATGAATCATCAGGGCTGGGATACTGCCAGGGTGCCCAAGCTTAGACAGAAAAAGAAGGGTTGGGATCCCGCAAGTGACCATCCGGTCAATAAGTTCACCTATTAACCAACGAGTATTTCCGGCGTTATGCGACTCGTCCACTCCCTTAGCTTTACGTGTCTACTAGGCTCCACGGTAGGCACGAATGCTGTTTCATCTGACTTCTGATGAATCGTTCCAAGCTTAGCAGAAAAAGAAGGGTTGGGATCCCGCAAGTGACCATCCGGTCAATAAGTTCACCTATTAACCAACGAGTATTTCCGGCGTTATGCGACTCGTCCACTCCCGTAGCTTTACGTGTCTACTAGGCTCCACGATAGGCACGAATGCTGTTTCATCTGACTTCTGATAATTCGTTAAGCTGCAATATGTTCGCGACCGGCGAGCACATTTCTCCGACATTCAAGCCGCGTCACGGCTCCGTCTGATATCCGGTGCTTGAGCAAATCTGTTAGCGCAGCGCCATAAACACAACTCCCGGTACTGTAAGAGGTTGTGGTGGAACCGTTGTAGGGGGGTCAGCCGGTTTAATTTAGCGAGCTGCCAGCCTTCAAGCTGCTAAGTGAGTTGTTTGCTCCCTACACAGCCCTGGAAATGAGGAACGACTCCAGATAAGCACATGACCAAAATCCACATAAGTGGTCCAAAACGACATTCAATTATTGATCCTCGCAATTGGTAACCGGGGGTAATGTGGTCAGTTTGGGTGAATGACGGGAAAGCTGTTAGAGAATACAATGTGGCCAGATAACTTCGGTTACTTCGGAAGATATCCTTTTTAATAAAGTCCAACGGAGCCCTTCATGAACTCTTCATGGGTCTAACAACCAGTAAATCGAAAGTTTGTGGTAAAAGTTACATCCCAAAAACCAATTTCGATAACCATCTTCAAAATCTGAAAAATCCTAATCTACGCAACGCCAGATCGCTGTATAAACATACCGAATTAATGGCACTCCTCCGCCCGGCAAGAATTTCATTCTTGTGAGACTCCAGGACTTTCTGAGCTGCTTTTTCGGCAGCTATAACCGTCAACCCAACCAACAAAGAACATACCTCTGTAAGAAATAATACGCATGTATTCACCATCGTCGGCGTCCCAGACATCTTGGCTGTTTACTTGGAAAGCGGAAAATGCACTGGTTGAACTTTTTCCGTTCATGTAGGAAAGTTAATTCCCCTGTGATACGGATAATTATTGTGTCATAACCACATAAATAGAACACATCACAAGAGCATCGCAAAAATTCAAACAGTGCGCTTGCGACAAGTTCACTGGGTATGATGGGAGCCGTCGGTGAGCACGTCGTGAGTAGCACGTGGATAAAGTTAATTCAAATTGTGACCAGGCTGCTGCTCTCACGGTGGCTGAAATTAGATGGTATCTAGACAACAGATGCACTACCGTGTGTACAGGTTACGTGGAATTATCTACCAGAAAGCAGCCAACGTCTACCCCCGGGATGGAAGATGACGTCTGTTTCAACTACAGGAAATGATAGAGATGCGATGACTCCAAAAATCAGTCCCCTTAAGCCGTGTAGCTAGGGTGTGGATGCGATGAATCTTGGAAGTGTGGTGCAAAGGTATGTTTCCGCCGCGTATCTAACATATCAGGCGCAGTAGTAGCCTGACTTTCCTCTTCCCCAATTAGTGATGATTTCGCCATGGGTTGAGCCCCACACTACGATCGTATATAGCATAAGGACTGAGTTGGATTATCGGAGGATGTGTTTCGTCTTTCTTGAACGGTTTCGGATGATCAGAACGCTTTCACGATGACGTGCAGGTAAGGCTACTTAGTGGGAAATTGTGATTCTGTTGATTCTACATCGTTACACAGATCGATCTTTGCCGAGGCTTCCAAGTGTGGTTGTTCCAGGAGTGCCAAGACTGTCAATCTCCCTAGAGTTACTTAAGAATAAGGGCATGGCACCACTCACCATAAACTCAGGTTTGGCCCGGAAGCTCGACATCTCGAGGACTCTCATGGAAGCAACTTAATTTATTTCAACTGGGTCACAGACGCCGCGCTGACGTCTGCCCGATGTATATTACTTACGCACCAACTGCCGGACTAAGAAAATCCAGTTAAATGTGCACTCTGAGCTTGAAAGATTCCTAACACGTTTCCACCCTGTGTTAATAGACTCAACGGTGAAAAGCCTGTCTGGCGAACTCTGCCCAAGCAAAGCCTAGTTAGGTGTTGATTCATTTTTCCATTCCCAAGTTGTACAAAGCGATGCCCATTTTTGTTAGTCCGGTTTTGCGTCTGTAACACCTTTCTCGTTTTTGACCTGAGCGTAAACCGCTTTTTGAACTTGTCACCGCGCATGTCGTTTAAGCCAACACGTGGTTCCGCTGTCTTGTGTCGTAATGGAATTTGGGATCAGTCAGGAATTAGCAATTCCTCGACGAATGTATACCAACAAAGGTAGTCCCACTATTTAAGATCTGTATATTTTATCATTGTGTTATTATATCTATAGCACCGCATCTGTAGATAAGCCTCCAGTTTAAGGGTTTGATTTTTGACGTTTTTTGAGTAGCTCAACGTAGTTCAGCAGATTGTTGGAATTAATCTATGGCAAGCACAACGTCCCCGCCCTAAGGATCTGTGAGAAGAAGATCAAAGGTCGGTGGAAGCGTTTCCTCTGATACTGCAGCTTTCTGGACAAGCTCTATCGGTGTTGCTGCCTTTCTGCATCTTGAGAAATCAACTTGGTAGGGTGCTCGAAAATCGTTCAGAGGTTTTGGGCTAAGACAGGGCACTTCTGTCGAGACAATCAAAGTTAATGCGTGTGGGAAGCCAGGAGTCGTATCTTTCGGAATCCTGACATTGATCGATCACCTTGGATCCTCAGACCTGTAAACAGTCACATGAGCCTGGGTAGCAATAACTTCCGGCACACACTCCTCAGTGAAGGAAAAGACAGGACTTTCGGTGAATTCTCATCAACACGGCACAATCAGCAATAACCAAACGTGGTCATGCCAGACAACGAGAAGTATGCTACTACCGTCCTGCCAAGCTGGAATCGCTGATAAATGTGAAGTTCAGAAATTAGTCTTGCTGGCCCCAACGAGATTCCGTCGGTCACTCAAGGCTTTATCCAGCGCATATCACAAAACCTTGCCTAAAGCATTTGCTCTTACTATGAGGTTTGCCACCCAAATGCTCTGTCTTTTGACGGCTCATGCGTGAGCACCATATTCAAACCACGGCGAATCCACATCCCGAAAGGGCCATTGAAATTACTTGGTTGCAATTCTCCAAGCAGCCAATCGCGTCGCAGTTATTAGCTTTCCTCTAGAAACTATGTATGGACAAGCAGAAATATGAGACTTGACAACAGCCCCCTGGCCATATCTCCTTGCGTCTTGAGGAAACATTTGCAATTCATTTGCCACGCCCGATGAACATGTCAACTACCACCTGATCAGCAGCTATTATGCGAAGTATTCGACTGCGGCTTCTTTCCGTGGTCGCTTATTATAGAATACAACTATGAATGCACTAAATCAAATGTACCCACCTTCGTATTTATGTCCTAGGCGTTAGGCACCAGGCGATGGGACTCACTTTGACCAATTTATCACAAGTCTCTACCACGAATCAATGATTTTAACCTGTCATTGCCCCAAATATGCACTGTGACTAATTTTGCAATCGGCAAGACGTGAATATCATCAACGTTCTCGAAAGGGCCCTAGTGTTGTTCGTATGTCAGCATAAGTTAGCTGACGTGAAATAAAATGGTGAGTGCAAGCACAAGCAGCACAAAGAACCAATGGTTATTAAAGAAAACAACACAAAAGCCAGGCCTACCCTGTGGACCGCCTCTCGGCCAAGACACCGAGGAAGCTTGCTGGCCGCCAGGGTTAATTGCGTGTACCTCTCGAACACCTTCGCCACAGATGCCTCTTCCTTCAGGCTCGAAAATTCAGCGAACTCCCTCCAAAAAATATAACATTTAAGACCAGTATTCAACGTGCACGTCGACGGTGGAAACTTTATACACATTGCGGAAGGCACATAAGACGTCATTGTTGGCCTTCAAGAAAATCTCAGCTATTGAGGTGTAATTTCAGCGCGAAGTGGCCCCCAGTAAACTACGCGGTAGCTCACGCATACTTTTAGGCGTTTCCTTATTTTTTTAATGTAAACGAAAGTCGTCTCAATTTTGTGGGACCAAAGAATCATTGCGTTTCATCGGTGAGGGCGCTAGCCTCCTTACTTTCTCGAAGGAGTGTCGTTTACATAATATGATCTGTTGGTCTCTTTAGATAACCGACTTCATGAAGCATAAATGTTTCTTTTGCTGTACTTTTCATACGCCCGCTATTTCGTTTGCTTTTGCCCTCATTGCACATGTCAAGCAAAGATAACACCTTTGGACTGTGGGGTGAAACTCAAGCAAAGAACGTCTAGGGCCGCGTAATCATGGCCACTTGCTTGACAGACTGTAAATAGCTTTCGCGTTACGGAGTTTTGTACCAGCAGTCGTCATCATTCTAGTTAATACCACACCCAAAATGTTGCACAAAGCGCGGCGTCAGCTTTTTGGTGTCTCAATGACAAGGCGTAATCTCCAGTCACACAGGGCCGTTTGCTTTCTCAATTGCGCTGGTTAGTTAAGTGAGTAAACGCTCCCAGTCGTGCGTAAATTTGTTTGATTTGCATATGTAGGACGGTTAACTTTTTGGCGGAAAAAGCTGTTTTCGGTGGCTGAATTTCCTGTTCCACGTTCAACAGTCCGCTTGTTTACACAATGCCCGGGTTAAGGCTTTTGTACATCTAGTTTGTGGAAACAAGAGGTGGATGTAACCTCCCGTTATACGAACAACGGTGGGGCTACGTGTACGACAGCGTTCCCGGCAGCCTGTACATTTTGGCAAGTACTTAGTCTGGTGAATCAGTGTACAACTTGGGTGAGCTTAATCCTCGCACATTTCCTGCTTCACATCATGGCTACATAAACTAGGAAATGAGAGGCATGTGCCCCATAGATATGCGTTCAATATAGGCTTTAATTGTACCTGTTGCAAATGGTTTGCAAACCAACTCATCAAACATTCTGCGTTACCGTATTTATTCTGTTTTTAGGGGGCCCAATTAATTCTGTTTATGTCCCTATGTGAGCTGGAATCTATTTGTTTGGCTAAACGCTTACATCATACGACGCCCGAGCAGTAGCTGAAGCAGCCCGGCTTGACACGTGTTCTTGCGAACGTATCATCACGCTCTGGTTCGTAGGTTGCTTATTCTTCAGAAGCAAAATCAGAATGCCAACTGACAGGCGCACATGTTCACAATATTGTATTGAAGGCAATTTTTCTGATGGTTTAGTGAACAATTATATTTAGAATCGGCCTGTAAACAGTAAACATTTACTCCCTGAGCTTTTTGGTTTTCAGCCCAAAACTTATTATTCTCTAGAGTCGCACCGCTTACATAAAGTAGTCCGTCAGCGGTTAGTCATGATGAACAGGGGGCTTGAACTCCTGATAATTAAAATCTATTCCAGCCGTGGATATGCGCTGAAAGGTTTTAACAAGGACTCACCGTGATCTGTGATGAATTAGGATAAGAAAAATCCCAGGCTGTATACCGAAGTCCAATCATGAGTACATGGCTCCCCAACCTCCAATTTGATGGCGTTTGAAGCAACACTCGTTTGAAGGCTTGGAGTTTTATCCCGGTAAAACTGAAAAAAGTGACTAAAACATCTGGACAAGCATTTCATCGGGTCTTTGGGATACACAACCCTTCAGATTTAGCGCTAAATCCTTCAGAACTGTATATAACGATCTCTTCTATTGTCGTCTCTACCAAAAGCTTCCAACCCCATCTGATGGGCACGCGGCTACACTCGCATTCGACAAATTCGACCATTTTGGTGACAACACATCGCCGTGAAATCAGCAACTGCTCACCACTGCCGTGGATTATACCAGGCAGACACCGGCCGCTTCACCTACATCTCCACGGAGTCATGCGGAAATATCATTCCAATCCTCGGATTTGAGTCCGTTTCTTGCATCAAACTGTCATTTCAGGGTTTACCGGGGGGAAGCCCAGCACAGAAGCCCATCAGTGAGCCCTGTTTTTTATACACGATACTGCTCAAGATGAGCAAGAGGCTTCTATGATGTGAGGGAGTCTTTCGAGTGCGTGACGGTATTCGGGGCCCGGGAGGATTTGTACTGAAATGCCTACAAGATAACAATTTTCGAAATGCATTACTTTTGACCTCAGAGGTCAGGTAAGTACAAAGCAGCGCGCGTTTGACAGCATTCACCGTATGCCCAACTATCGGGTTCGGAACGGCGTACTGACTCGCTTGGGGGATAGTGAAATCTGACTAATTTTTTTGGCATCGGCACAAAACTTGCCGAAAACTAGCGTCCAGTTTCAGGTTTCTGGCCTTTTGTGTTTTCAGCCTACATCTTCAAATATGGGGACTGACATGAAACAATTTTCAGAATTTTAAGGGATGATGCAAAATATTTTATATGGCTACCTTGCTTCCACGTTTTGCTGAGTACCCACAGCTGACATCAGTCATACCTTTATTCTGACTGCATTAGTATAGTCGTAGGTTTATTTCTCGACTTGTGGTAAACAGGTTGGTTGAGGCATTATCGGCTGTTCAAACATGAATGTGGGAATAAAGGCACCGAAGTGCTAGATGGGAGTAAACATACAGACTTTACGTGTAGCAAGTAGTAGCAGTCGTAGATTTGGGTAAACAAATTATAGAAAAATGGGTCATTACATACGAATAGCCCAACGATGAAGCCGGTTGACTTGAACTAAGAGTGAGAAAACGTTGCTGGCCATGAGTGACCCTGGATGTTTTAGTAGATGTTCAGGGTTACAAAAAGAACAAGTGGAGATGAAAAGATGGAAAAATTGAAGTTAGAGACAAAGGATGAAATTCGTCTAAAAACACAACCTTCACTGAAGCTGGGTAGAATCGATGACGTCATTGCCGGGAAGAACTCAAATGTATTTGCGAGGAAGAGATAATGCTAAGGCATGTGACCAAAAAACAACTCAAGTGGAATCTTTGAACATGTTAAAGAGGCATGTTGAAATCGCAGAACCGGATGGTTAGGTCCAAACGTGTAACTCAGTGGGCTAGACGTAACTCGTCAGGGAGGGGGCTGGGGTTGAGCAAAAAACTGCTCAAACCTGCAGGCGAAAGAGCAAGTGGGCGGAGTGGGCGAGTGGACGGGTGGGCAAAACGGCGCAGTTGGTAGTAGGGAAGAAATAGTTTCAGGCGTGCCATTAAACTGGGTATTGCGGGGCCGTACCATCATCGTACCGACATACATCTCTTTCTACACAGTCTCGTAATGGACGTCTTGTTTGATTTTATTGGACTGGGGGTGTGTATCTGTGTGCAGCGGGACTTTTTTGGTATGACCTGGAGGTCCATTCAGGTAGAATAAAGTTGATACAGTATCATAGATAGTTCAGGTTTGATTGGAGATCCGTTCAAATGCTAGACGCTGACCATTTGAAGCGGATACTGAACAATAACGGAGATAGGAGGGAATGGGATAAAGTATGTAGGGCCCGGTAAGCCAGAGAATGTTTTACATAGGATGGAATACATCAAAAGAGCAAAATACAAACATGCATCCCAACGTTCGATTCAATTTCCTTCCGAAGATTTAGCGTTGGACAATACCTGATTCGGATGCTCTTCCTAGCTGATATCCACTCTAACTGGCCCATGATATGCATCCTCAGGGATCACACACCGGACCAGAAAAATGCCGGCGACCATGCACTGGTCTCGTTCGACATCTAAGGGTTTTCCTGGACGATCAAAAAATTCCGCTGCTCACAGAATTGCATTTCCAGCCCAGTCATCTCAAACGTGGCACTTGTTAAGGGGCAGTCCAGAAAACTATTTGTCGCGCTAGTAGTGGCACGGCACTTCAACACCCAGCTTGAAAGCACACTCGCCCTTCTCCCCCTCCTACTCTCGAATGCACCCCCACCCACTGGTTCCATCAACTGCAAATATCAACGAACTCTTCTCCCGGCGTCAGCCGCCTGCAGGATGCGTTCATTCTACCCTGATAAAACTTTCGTTTGGATATTACTATTTCGGTGGAATTTCTGTGTGTGTGCTCCCCACAAAGTCAATGGTTTACGTCCCAACTTGTGTGTTGTTACCAACTCACCCTTCCAAGGAACTTTAACACCCGACATTACCACGAAAGTGACCCCACTGAGTCTCTATAGTTCTAGTCTACATGGTTCAGATGTTCTTGCTACCATTTACTCGCACTGCTAAGCTCCCCACTTTGCTATCCCCACTTACGCTTCACGTGACCCTGGCCATAGGCCCATGGGTCCAGGGTCACCAGGCCTCATTGGTGGTTTCGGGTTTTAGTTCAGACTGACCGGATGGATCAGATCAACTCTGCTGTTTCACCAGATCCATTGTCCGGGTCCCTCATTTTCCACAGTTTACAGATATTTTGTCACGTGTCAAGCAGAATGACTTTTTTTGATTTCTCGTTTAGTTTTTGCTCGCCACCACCAAAGTCCTGACAACAGAGAACCGGATAATCCTCCATACACCCGGTTATCAACGCTGATAGCGGGCGACTTGGTAGTCTACACAAGCGCACACCTTATCGATCTCACAGCACAAATATGCCCAAGAAACTACACATACGCATGTTTGCCCCAAACTCTTGAACAACAGCGATTATAATCAATTGGAAAATGTTTGGGACCGATTGTGAAGTCATCGTTTCAGAGAAGTTTCGTAAACAATCGGTGGATTTATTGCTGGGAAACGTTTCGCTCTTGACACAAAAGCTTCGTCATGAATAAGAGCGACTATCTTCAGAGAGTTAGACACCACACAGCTGATTGTCCTTGCCGACAAACTAGTAACGGAAA